AGCTGAGAAAAGATTTAAAAATTACCTACAATCAAAACAAAACTCACAAGGTTAGTGGGCCTTTTCCTTTTTTTTTTTTTTTTTTAGCTTTTTATGATTTAAATAACGTGCAATTTTTGGCTTATTTCTTGCTGTGGTGGTATTTTTATACATTATATCCTTCTTACAACTTAATTACTTAGGGGAAAGAAGAAAATTATAATTGAGTATCTTTGTATGTAAAAGAATATTCTTGAAAAGTATTTTAAATCATTTTCTTAACATTTTTACAACTCATTAGACTATGTTGATTTTATTAAAGTATACAAATTACTACATATATACTGTAATGAGCAACACATTTTGGTTTTGTTGCCTAAGAGACAAATATGTAATTTTATAAATCAGGCACAAAAATAACAAAGGATTATCAGTATGTTTAATTAAACATTAAAATGCCTCTAAATATTATATAAGCAGATATATACATTAATCATTGTATATCCACTCATTTATATATTTATAGTACATTAAAAATTTATCATAAATCTACACATACTGGAACATTGGCTTCTTTAGACTTTTATCACTATTTATAGAGTGGTGGGTTCAAAATTGAAAAATTTTTTTAAAAAGATTTTATTTATTTGACAGAGAGCAAGTGAGCACAAGCAGGGGGAGCGGCAGGCAGAGGGAGAGGGAGAAGCAGGCTTCCCGCCAAGCAGAGCACCCGATGTGGGGCTCAATCACAGGACCCTGGGATCATGACCTGAGCTGAAGGCAAACACTTAACCGGCTGAGCCACCCAGGCGCCCCCAAAATTGAAAATTTAAAGTGCTAGTACCCTAACTCTGAGAAGTGCAGTCACATCATGGTGATAATGGAGAATAATTATATAATATCTAATATCATGGGATTTATTAGCTATTCCCACATTGAATTTGTTCATCTTTTATATTTTTTAAAGTATCACCACATGTAAAATTATTTAACTCTTTTAGAATTTTTTTGGAATGTTGAGGAGGACTTCAAACCTGTTCCAGAGTGCTGGATACCAGCGAAGGAAATAGAACAATTAAATGGGAATCCGATGCCTGATGAAAATGGACACATTCCTGGTATCATGAAAACTTTTCTAAAATGCATAAGGAGTTTTTCTGGGAATGGGAAAATTTTTGCAAAAGTGTGCTTAGTAGAAAGATATCCCAGGTTAAGGTTCAGTTCAGCAGGCGTGTCTTGAATACCCTAATGTGCAGAGTACTCTTAGGTTCTAGTAACACAAAAATGAAGATTAGAACGTTATCCTCCATGATCTTTTAGACACTAGGGGAAATCCACCAATACTGTTATGATTTAAGAACTAAAAGGAAGGTATACAAAGCGTATAGTCAGAGAAAAGAGGAAGAGTTCTGGTGAGCCTGTGATAGAGGAGGCTTCTAAGCGGAGAGGACATCTGTACTGCAGCTTAAGAACCAGGAAGTTAGCTGGCAAGGATGAGGGAAGGTCAGCTTAGGCAAACTCCCATAAAGAGGAGTGATACGGGGTCCTGGGAATTTTATGTGACACTTCTCTGTGGCTGGAATGTTTAGGGTGTAGGACATTGGAGGACATTATAAAAGTTGAGGCTGGAGATGTAGAATGGACCCAGATCTTAAACGGGTTTATATTCCATTTAGAGGATTCTGAAGTTCATCCTGAAGATGATTAAGCAGGGGTACAGCAGAACTAAATTTAAATTTTTGAAGCAAGATTATGATAAAAGTGGGGTGGGTTTTCCTGGAGACTAATGGACCAGAAAAGAGGTTTCTACAGTTAACCTGAGTATTGAAGGTCAAAGATATGATGGTCACAGTGGCATATGTGTCCTAGTTTTCGTTTGTTTGATAAAGAATTGTCCACATGCAGGAACCTATTCTGGTAACAGAAGTTAGGAGAGGAATAGCAATAACCTTCAATACAGGTGGAATTAATACATTGTTCAGCAAATACTGCAACAGGACAATAAATTGTAGAAAACTTACTGCATAGGTCTATTGTCTCTGAAACTGGAGAGACAGTAGAGAGAAAACTTAAAAAAAAGAAATGAAATGAAAAAAGGGTTTTAATGCTCTGTTTTAGAATGGTATTCAATTCATACTGAAAATTTTCTAGAAAGGAATGCTGAGTGCTCTATAGTGAATCATCAAGCAGGTTAATTCCTCAACAGAATAAAAAACCTTATGATTAAAAGAATGATTAGGATTAAAAAAGTAGTAAAACTGCCAGCACTTCCACTGATTTAAAAAAAGTGTATCTGTGGGTGATAAACATCCAGAAAACATGGAAAATTTATAACAAATATAAAAATTGATTCAAGTCTCAATCCAAAGAAAAGCGGTGTCATGACAGTTTTTCCTTTACGTGATAGGTTGGGTACCAGTGGAGAAACACAACAAACAGTACTGCTGGCATTCCTCTGTAGTTAATTATGAATTCGAAGTTGCCCTGGTACTGAAGCATCATCCTGATGATCCTGGGCTTCTGGAAATTAGTGCAATGCCGCTCTCAGATCTCCTAGAACAAACACTAGAACTTATAGGAACAAATATTAATGGAAACCCGTACGGTGAGTGAAGCCTTTTTCCTGTTCAGTTATAGTAACTGTATTTATAGAGAGAACTTCCTATGTTCAACTTAAAACACATACACTAAAGAAATGACTAATTTGAGCTAAATAGCTTTCTAGAATTACAGCCATTTCTATTTATGTCCACAGAGAAATTTATGCATGACTCTAACCATTTTATTAATCCAAAAAGTTGATTTTAGCCTCTCATTCTTTTGTGTAGTAACATTGTAGAACTAGGTATGAAAGGGAATTACTCAAGGGTAACTTTTTGTTGCTTTTTAAAATTTAGGTGAAATGAGTTGAATGAAAATCCTGTGTTTTTCATGGCTAGGTAATTAGTTTAGCATTAATTAACAGCTAAGAGTAAATTAAGTAAAGAATTGACCGTGAATCGAGTATCAAAATCTGTACTACGGTGAACTGAGTACAAGTCCAGAGGGCACTGTGGAGAACATTGTTGACAGGGGGATGGAGACAGACCCAAGATCATTAAAGCTGGAATAGCAAAATCCTATGTAGGGATCAGAAGCAGACTGGCAGGTGGAAAGAAGTTAAGATAGTATTTACACACGTTATCAGAGATACAGAGTGGCTGTTTGGCAAACATTGAATGATAGTTGAACTTGGCTAGTAGTATAGAGCAGGGGTTGGAGGACTTTCTCTGTACAAGTCCAGATAGTAAATATTTAGGTTTTATAGGCCATAAACAGTACTTAAAAGAATGCGTATAGCTGCGTTGAAACTACAAAAACAAGCATCTGGTTGGATTTAGCCCATGGGTCATAGTTTGCTGACCCTTGGTATAGATTATATGAAGGTGAAATTTATATTTAATGGGATAAGGTGGCAGTTTTGAATGAGATCACTTATGGTATATCTCTCTTCTAGGAAACCAACTAAACTTTTTGGTAAATTTATTGCTAAATCTTTTAAAAGGTCTTTTTACTTGGATAAGTAAATTTTCTCAATTCTTTTTGAAACCTTTGTATGGCTAATGGAAATTTTTAACATTTAGGGCTAGGAAGCAAGAAGCATCCATTACATCTTCTTATACCACATGGGGCATTTCAAATCAGAAATCTACCTACCTTGAAGCACAATGATCTGTTATCCTGGTTTGAAGGTTGCAGAGAGGGTAAAATTGAAGGAATAGTATGGCATTGTAACGATGGCTGTTTAATCAAGGTAATGACAGAAAGTAGCTCGCGGGATGATGTCGTCTTACTTCCTAAAACGAGGTAGAAGTGGCACTAGAATATTCTCTACAGATTGCAGTAATTCTAATGTGTTATAAAGAAATTTAATTTCCCCATCTCACAGGCCACCATTCTTTATATAATAGTGTTTCCCAATGTGTATTCATTCTCTGGGGCATTGGTTTTCCTAGACGTGCTTCAGAATTAAAGTGATGAAAATGTCTGGAAAAACTGCACATTACATACTGCCTTCTTGGAAATTGATGTTGCAAATGAATGCGCTCTGAGATAATCCGTACCAACTTAGTTTAACTCAGCATTTCCCAAACTTATTTGATTATAGAATTTGAGTTAAAAGTGCCAAGGTAACAGTTAATATTTACAGAAGGAACTTTTATACTTTATGCCCTTTCTGTCTCTTGGACTTGTCTATTTGATTTTGCAAAGGTTTCTGAAATTAGTAATGTTCAGAACTGGACCTAGTCATATCCACCCCTGACTCCCAACAGTTCAAAAACTGAAATATCATTTTTAACCCCTTTCTCCATTACTTCACAGATAAAGATTCTGATCTGTTGAATCTGTACTTCTCCCCAACCAGTTGGCAGTTAATTTTCATTTTAATTGAAGCCAAGATTCATGCTTGACCTAGTTTATCACCCTCTTAAAGGTTATCTTTCAGTCTTATCCCTGTTCTGTCCATTCTTCACAGTAAGTGAAAATGTTAACTTTGCTGCATAAAACTGCTTAGTGACCTTAAGATTATTCATGATCTGACCCTTGCTTCACTTTCTGGAACTGCTGTACACCCCCATCTGCCAAATATACCCACACGGTATATGTTCTAACCATGCTTATATAATTGCAATCAGAGCAAAAAAGCACCATTGTGTCACGTGACATTTAGAATGCCTCCCCAACCATATTTTTTAATTGGCTAGCTTCTGTACTCAGCAGCAGACTCTATTCATTAAATTTTTATGGAGTCCCTGAATATGTTCCTGGCATGTTTCCAGGTGCTGGAAATACAGAATCAACAAAACAGTGTTTCTGCCTTCATGAAGCTCACATTCTAATGGGGAAGATAGACAATAACAAGTAAATATATAATATGTCAGGAGGAGAACACGTATGAAAAAAAAAAGGGTAAGATAAAGTGGAGCCTTAAATAGTGCTTGGCAGATGGTAGGCATTCAAAGTAAATACTTAAAAGTGAATGAAGATAAAAAAGTCTAAAGCTAATAACCTTTTTTTCTCTTTTCAGGTTCATCGCCATCATCTTGGTTTATGCTGGCCAATTCCAGATACTTATATGAATTCAAAACCAGTTATTATCAACATGAACCTGAACAAGTATGACCATACCTTTAATACTAAATGTTTGTTTAGTCTTTTTTCAAAAATAGATAATCAGAAATTTGGTAGGCTCAAAGATATAATACTTGATGTATAAACTAAAATGCAATTAAGAACCAGCTTTATTGTTATCTTTGAATCTTGAATATTCTGCCACATGTGGAAGGTAAAAAAAATCTCAGGGTTCCATGTCTAATAGAGCAATATGTCTTCTGGCATTTGAAGACATGAATTTCCCAGTTGCAAAGGTCTATTCAAAATTTTATTTAGAACCAGCAAATGAATTTCAACCACTAGACTTAAAAATGTAATAATAAGCTCCTTACCTTGTACAAAAGTTGGATAAAGACAACAATTAAACCAACAATTTTGGATCATTAACTTTAAAAATTAAATAGTTCAAGATGAATTTGTTCTAACACTTAACAAAACATATGGCTGTAACCTCATGTTTATATACATGTACATATATATAAAACTAGAGTCTTAACACACATGTAAATAAGTATATATAAAACCCCAATTTTAAATGTTAAAAGTTATTAAAGCTCACCCCATACTCTTTAAAAAACTTAAACATTATGTATACAGAAATTCATCATAGCTTATTTGATAGTCATAACTTACTCTAAAGTCATCAAAAATATACTTTTCTATTATGTTTAAAATTTCCTATAATTTTATTTACTAAAACTTGTATTTAGCAAAGGTACAGGGTATGAAGAAGAAAATCATGTAGGTCAGAGACCTGTTTGATTTCCAGATTAAGTTTTAACTTATAAAGTTAGTAGTTAAATAAAACTACAGGTATAGGTAGTCCTTAATAAATGGGGAGATCAGCAGGACTTTCCTCTTCATCTTCAAACTGTTCAGAAGCAGCAACAGGACTAGTTAATTCAACTCCACATTATTCAGAAAGTTTTTTTTAACTTTTCTTCTAAAAGAATATTCTTTTTCACTTCTTTATAATTATACTTCAGATCTTCAATTTCTTCAAAAAATGAAGGATCAAAGTTTTCCAGTTCTTTTTTCAGCTTTTTTGTTTCTCCTAGTAGAAACATAATATCTTTGAAAGGTATGTAGGAATACAATATATTCTTTAGATTTGAACTAAAGAGACTTAATTACAAACACAAAATCCAAAGTAACCTGAATAATCTAATATACTTATATACTATATAGGCAGAAGTATTTTCTTAGAATTTTGTTAATAAGGTTTCATGGTACAGCATAAGTAACTAACTTGTTAGCTGGTAAATCAAATTATTTGTTCTGTAAGTTATGTCCTAGTTTTTGACTAAAATTTATCAGTTCTTAAATGGGTAGGAGAGGGGTGGTATTTAAATCTTTCTCCAAAAGTATATCAGATACTCTCATTGAGGAAATCAAAAGACTTGGCTATTCACAACACAAGTTATTTTGGTTAAGATTCTTTGGTTTAGGTTTCATTTATATTTTCTTTACAAATACCTATTTTTTTTAAGTGAATAATAGTCAACTTCTTACAGAATTAGGGAAACTCCAGGACTTCTACTTGGCTAAGAGGCATCTGGTGAAGAGACAATTTGAACTTTAGAATAGCTAGTGATCACTAGTTAATTCTTCAACTTACGCTCTTTTGTTCTGTTTGTAGATTCTTTGAGAGAGAAAGCATGGCAAATATCTTTCTTTTTAATAAAGGGAGCTATTCCCGAAAAGAACTTCAAAAGGAAATAAGACACTATTCCCATAATGTGACCCAAAACTTAATATTAAAATAATGAGCTACATTTGTGAGAATCAAAAAATAAATTTCGCTTTAATACTACTTGTTTTGTCTGTTTTTTTGTAGCTCTTTTCGTATTTTTAACACAGATGAATGTAATGAATTCTGTAATATCAAGGTCAAATGTAACTCCAGGAATTTTTAGGATACATACTTAAAACTCAAAGATGGTGTTCATAAAAGTTGTTTTTAACAGTTGTTTACACAAAACATTTATAAATTGTAATTACATAAAATTACCTTCAAATGCTGCTTTTCTAAATCTGAGGTTTTGAGCTGTGTCTCTAAATCTTTCACCTTTTCCTTTAGTTGATCAGGATCTGCCAAAAAAGTTATAAAAATCAGATTCTGCTTTTCCCCACTCTGACAAAGGATTTGTTTCAGAGAATATGTAGAAAACTTAAGAAACTAGAGCCTAGAATATACGGCATTTTACTGAAACACTTTCCAGACTGTGAATACTGTAACGCTATCTCTATCAGATATTGTAGTTCCATAGCAGACCAAGAGAAAAGGCACCTGCTGGGTATTAGAAGTGTAGAATCAGGTTAATTTTTTACATGGAAGAAATTATTTTCCAGAGAAAAATCCTAGAGCCAGGAAGCATTGTTAGGTACTAAAAGGACAACAAAAGAATAAGTAGACTGTTAGGTAAGGGGCTACATCCAGAGCTGGCCAAATGCTCCTGGTCCCCAACAGTATTGGTTGTTCCATGTAGGTCAGTACACATTTACTGTGTAATTACTACGTGAAAAACATGCCAGGCAGGGTGGATAATACAAAGACGAATAAATCCTAATACAATGGTCAGATAACATTAAGTACACAAATAGAGCACAAGGGCTTTAATTTACTGGATCTAAGCTTAACCACCCCCGTCACCTGGAGTTAACATCTCTCCAGTTTTATAATGAGAATCAATGGACAAATGGGATTTTTTATTTAATTGCCATCTTTGCTAGAAACATTTTCTTTAAACACAACATATAATGTGTCGTGTCATATTCTGTAGCCATTGAAGGGTAAAATTTTAAAAGTAATGCTAAAGTTCTGAGAAAATAATGGGCAGCAAGAAACATTTTGATGAATGAGACAGGAAGGTTTCTGTTCTATTAAGGTTCCCTTGATATGGTCCCCTAATTATAAGTTGGAGACCAGAAATATTTTCCTCATCCTTTCCTTTGGGAATAGTCAACAGAACCCATCTTCCTTTGGAAAGCAGAGCAAAATCATACTTTTCAAAACTTCCTTCACCTTTGTAGAAAGTGCTAATGATTTTTTATAAATTTGGTTCTTAATCACTGTAATGCTATATTGAGTTGATTGCCTTAATCAAAGGGATGCTATATGTTACACAGATTTGTAATGAAATAGTGCAGTAAAAATGATTATTATGTACAGCACTTTCTGAAAGTTAGCTTAATGGTATTTGATTGCATGATCGAAATGACAAATTCTGTTTCAAAGAATTATACCAATTTATGCCTGAACAAACTTTGTTTCATACAGCTTTTTCAATATTCTGCCACATAGTCTTGTTGCTACTTTGAAGTATCCTTAATCTCCTTTAAATAGATGAAGAATACAGGGTTTTGAAATTTCCCTCTCAGGAAACAGAGGTTTCTTAGGAAGAAAGAACTTGCCAAACATCAGCATCAACAGGTCTTTAGGAGTGTGCTAGTCTGGTAACCTAAGCTGGCTGCTGTAAGAGCTACTGTTGAGAGAGATTTACATGACTGTTTTAGTCACCAAGAGGTAGCTAAGGCATTTCCTTGGTCAAAAGCAGGGAATGGTGAGGAGCTTTGGAGTTCCACAGATTTAGGTTTCATCCTGCCTCTCTCACTTCCTAGCTGTTGTGACCTTGTTACTTAACCTCTTTAAGGTGACGATCATAGGAAAAATGGAGACAATAGTACCCACCAAACAGTGCTTTAAGAGTTAAATTATAAAATGCTGGGGTCAGGGGAGAAAAAAATTATAAAATGCTTGTAAAGCACTTAGCATAGTGTTTGGTACAACTCATACATGATAGCTTTAATACAAAGTAGCAACAAGAATATGTGGTAGGATACTGAAAAAGCTGTATGAAATAGTCAAAGATTGTTCAGGTATAAATTGACAGAGTCTTTTAGAATAGAATCTGCCATTTCCATCACACTATCAAATGATTCTTATTGTTAACAGTGATGTTCTCAAAAGTCAACCCGAACAATGGATTCGTGAATGTTGAACCATTCATTGCTCTTAGGGAAAACATTACACATACACATACTCATATCTCACATACAGTGTAATTTTAAATCCTAGAAACAACTCATCCTGGTAGATTCTATTTTCTTTGTTTTATAAAAGAGAAAACAAAGTTCAGAAGTGTCAAGTGACTCTCCTGAGGCCCCACTCGTGTCACAGTTGGGATTTAAACCCAGTCCAATTGGCCCCAGAAACAGCTTCTTGCCCTGTGCTGCACTCCCTTGTATGGCCTCCATCTTCTGGTCATCTCTATGAGAGAGCTGCAATAATGCAGAGCCTCACCTTGTTGGATCTCATCTGGAAAACGGTGGGTCAGAACTTAAATTTTTCACTGCTGTGTGTATCTGCAAAAGCACCAGGAGTACTGGTTTTGGGGTTACAAGTAAATTTTAGTGAGTGGCTGAATTTACAAATACAGACTCTGAAAATAATGAGGATCAACTTAATTATGTATGTATACATAATGCATATATGTACATATGCATACATACGCACCTAGCAATACAATGATTAATCACTTCTGAATGGAAGCATGTAGAGGACTAGACTGTTTTACTTTGTAAAAGGGAAGAAGAATGTAGGCAATGTTTACTATATGTTTGAAAGTTAATAAGAGGATAGGGACGCCTGGGTGCCTCAATCGGTTAAGCATCTGACTCCGGCTCAGGTCATGATCCCAGGGTCCTGGGATTGAGTCCCTGCAACGGGCTCCCCGCTCAGCAGGGAGTCTTCTCTCTCTCTCTCTCTGCCCCTTCTCCTGCTCTCTTTCTCTCTCTCTCAAATAAATTAATAAAATCTTTAAAAAAAATAACAAGAGGACAATAACATTTAGAAGATAATGTTCATGTTCAGAGGGCTTAAAAGGGCCTACTTAGAAACTGGATACCACAGACCTAGCATATTGCTTAGCACTGTGTCATGATTAAATGTAACACCCATACAGAATATAAAAAGAAAAACACCTGAGTACCTGCTGTTATAAACAACTCAAGAGGACTCAATGGGAACATGACTGTTGCATGAAGGAAAGAGCTCTGAAAACCTGCTACCAGGGATTTGATTTTATAGGAAGACAATCATCAGAAAGCTGAATAAATAAAAAAGGCAAACCCTAATTCAAAAACTTGGGGTTAGCTAACACACTAGAAGTAGAAAATACTTTACCAGATACAGTGCTTTGAGCTCCACTTTGGTCTTTGTTAACTTCTAACTGATGGATTAATTCTGCTTTTTCTTTTTCCAGCTGACTATTAGCTAATCTAGAACATAATGATTATGTGTTAAAACAACAAAAAACAGACATTGCTTCACAAAATATATGGGTATTTCTCACGAACTTTGTAATGTAAATTGCTTAGAACTTGCTGATAATTTATAAAGGTAAACATTTATTCATTTACTCTCACTGTTGCAATGCTACCATTCTCAAACTGAGATCAGAGAATGAAAATTCTGCAGGATTCTTTAAAGTCTGACCTGATGTCATTTTTAAGACTTTTCCTATTGGAGGAACCTCATGAGAGTATTCTGCACAGAATTCTGGAAGTAAATTTTTTTCTTGTCTTTCATTAATATTTGCCTCTGGGAAACTAAGGTTTAACACATTCTATACTATTAAGAAAATTTAAATTAGAAGCTTGAGACTTTTATTAGGATCTGGTTTACCCTTTTTTCAGTATCTATTATGTAAGAGTAATTGGCATTAAAAGGATGAAATAAGACTGATAAGCTTGTTAGGCCACAAGGTTGAAAAATCTTAATCTCTAGATGTAGCAAACCTGGTTATATTAAAAAAAAATTTTTTTTTTAAGATAGATTAATGAATAGACAATGTACCTTAGAACTTGAAGTTCCTGCTGAAGGCTTTGCTCTGTCTCAGCTTCTTCAGGAACATGTTTGAGAATCTTAATCTTTGGGCACAATAAAAAGTTAGAAGACAGAGTCTGACATGGAAATACAATGTTTTATAAAGATACACATTTTCAGTAAAGCATATTAAAAGCTGGGTTTTCAAAAGCACGTAAGATATGAGCACATATCTATCATGTTCTAGTCACTATTCATTCAATAATTTACTGAGTGCTGCATGCCAGGCTTTGTCCTAGGCACATGGAATACAGTGATGGCAAAATCTCTCCTGGCATGTTCCTATGGTCCTTACGTACTTAGTGGGGGAGGAGACAAAGACAAATAGTAAGCGTCTAATGTGATAACAGGGCCAGATGGAAGGAAGGGCTATCAAGAAAAATAACTCAGGGTAAGACGATGGAGAGTCATGGAAGGTGGTAGAGGGTTAAGGAAGGTCTGAGGAGCCTCCGTTTAAGCAGAGACATAGGGAGTGAGCTATGAGAATATTTGGATGGAGAGTATGTTAGACAAGGGGAACAAGTCCAAGATCCTGAAGCTTGAGTTTGGCCTATTCAAAGGACTGAGAGAGGGTCCATGTGGCTAGAATACTGTGAATGAGGGGAAAGTAAAGATGAGGCTAGAAAGGAAACCAGATGCCAGACAATGTAAGTCCTTATAGCCTATGAAAAGTACTTTAGAATTTTATTCTGGGGTAATGAGGAACCACTGGAAGACTCTGAGGATGGGATGCTGTGATTTTCTTTATGCTTAGAAGGATGACTCAGCAGCTATGTGGAGAATACATCAGGGATAGGGAGAAGGTAAAACAAGGGAAGAGTGGAACCAGGGAGACCAGTTAGGAAATTACTGGAAGAGTTCAGGTGCGAGAGAATAGCTTAGACTAGAAGGACAGTGTGGGAGGTGCTGAAACATCAGATTTGGGATATATTTTGAAAATACAGAGCTGATGTGATTTAATGAAAAAGATAACAGGGTAAGAAAGATAAAGAATTGATAATCTAAGGGTTTTGGCTTAAACAAATGGTTGAATGGTAGTGCCATTCACTCTGATGGGCCTTTTAGGGAAGGAATTATCAAGTGTTCATTTTTATCTACAAAAGACAATGCCAAGGAATGGCTTGAGATATAATGCATTGTTTTCTCATGGAAAGAAAAATTACTTGCCTGTTGCTCGAGGTCTTCTGTGTATTTCTTAGCTTTTTGTTCCCTCTCTGTTGCTTGCCTTACAAGCTGTTTAAGATCAGTAAGGCTTTGGGTTTTTTTGGCAATATCAGTCTCCAATTCTTTCAGCTTGGTTTCGTACATTCTAAAAGTGAAGGGAAAAAATAGTGTAATGGAAAATAATTTCTCTCATTGATATAAAAGCCAATTCAAATTACTGCACTGAAAATAACTATCTTATACTGTTTCTTCTAGTCAGATTCTAGATATTTATTTAGCATTAGGTGAGAACAAGGGATAAGTATCCCTAATTAACAGGACAATTAAAATAGAGCATTTAGGTGTTTTCCAAGGTTATAAACAAGGATGGAGCCTGAATTTGGCCACTGTTAAAAAGATTAAAATTAGTATCTCTTTCAGTCATAGAACAAAAAAATAGTGCAATTCATCCATGAGAATATCAAATTCTGTATTATTGGGTACTCTTAGAGATACATTTAAAGATCACAAATTAGAACATTTCATATATACATCATGTATACACACGAAGAAGTATACAAAAAAAAAAAAAAAGTGTCCAAAAGGACACTATTGGGAGAAGGAAAAATGTGCAAAAGCATGGGTGAAAAAAATGGCACATGACATAAAAATCTGAATGTATTTGTAAACTCTAAAGAAATGACCAGTAGTTCAGAAACAAACAAACCAGATTCCAAAAGAAATTTTTAAAACATAAAGCCAAAATGATTTTATAAGCATATCATTCCACCTTAAAGGGAGACAATGCTTATAATATTCAAACATCTCCAGAGAAAAGAAAAAGAATGCTTCGGCAACAAAACCAGGTGAGGACAGTACAAGTTGTACAAGAGAAATTACTTCAATACTCTCAAGTAGTTTTTGATAAATCTTAGAAACTGTGGTTAGAAAGGAACATTCCTAATCTGACAGACTGTCCACCAGAGAGGTCCAATACCAGAAGCTTACTCCTTCAATTCTTTGCTCCAGTGCCCCACCCGGAGGGGCCTTCTCTGATCACCCCACATAAAATAGTGCCAGCATCCCCAGCCTGTCTTAGCAGTCAGTGCAAGGCGTGAGAAGAACAGACGTCATTAGCGTGTTGAGTAAGTAACAGAGCGACCGACTCTAAAGAGTTCAGCATGTGGAAGACCTAATGTGTCACGGGTCCCAAAGACATTTCTAAACCACTTTACTGAGGTGGCTGTATAATGCCAGCGGCAGATCTTAGTAAGGTTTTTGTTGTTTCGTTGTTTTTTTTTGGAGTTAGGGAGGCTTGAGGCCAAGGATCAGATTTAGCCTTCACTCTGTCAAGGGGATTCTACAAGGACTTTGTAACTTTTTCAAAAGGGTTTACCGAAGGCCTACCCTATGCTCAGTTACCTGTTCAGTTCTCAGATTAAGAACACACAAATTATGTAAAAGGCAAAGTCCTCTTCAATTACGGTTAAATATTACCCCTCTCAAATGTTCATAAACTTTATAAACCCTTTTCACATTAATAATCTTTTCTGTAGCTTCTCAGAGCCCTTTTTGAAAAAGAAGAACAGGGATGATCATCTCCATAGATTAAAAAACAAAACAAAAAACACTTGAGCTCACAGAAGAGATGTAATTTACTTCAGGTCACAGTGAGACTTAAGTATTTCTAAAGCTATGGAAACCACCTGGCTCCACGGCTCAATGAGGCAAAGTAGGCCATTTGAGGTACATCTAACATGAAGCAGAGAATCTGGCATGTAGCATGAACTGAGTAAATTATCTGCGAAGTAATCTAACTCAAAATCCTTTCTGAGTCTACATGTGATTGTAGAAGGAAATAAAGGACCAATCAAGCAGTCCACTGATGGGAGTTGCTGGTTGAGAGCCTCTGTTGGGGTCCAAGCAGACAAGAGAGACTCCTTTTCCCTGATATTATCACATATTATTTCATTTAAGCCTCACACTAGCCGTCTTGCAGAGTTAAGAGAGAGGTAGAGCGGGGAGGCGTGGACTCTGAGTACTCTCAGTATGGTGTTAGGACAGGGACCAAGGACCCTTCTCTAGGACTGCCTGGCCATCTGGGCTGCCTTCTAATCTGCCCGCATAACCTTCCTCCCTGGACTTGGTAGACAGGGGGAAGTACAGTGCAGCAGACCTGGCGCGGGGCTCTGCACTCAGCGGGGAGTCTGCTTGGATTCTCTCTTCCTCTGCCCCTCCTCCCGCTCACGCACATGGGCTCTCTCTCGCTAAAAGAAATAATCTTGAAAAAATAAACCTCCAAAATTGCAGCACAGCCCAGATCTAGTATGCCACAAGTTGTGACAAGACAGCTAAACCGTTCCTGGCTTATACTTGAGGTAGAAAATGAATGTAATACAGAAGTTGAGTCGTAGCGGGAGACAGGCAGCACCCAGGAGAAGCTGGGCACCATCGCTCTCGGCTCGTAGATGTCAGCTGCTTCGTGATGCCCACCCAGCTCACTCCAACACCCTGGGCCCAGCCCCAGCTCTGCTCTGGCCTATGCACTGCCACCCAAACTAGTTCAGTATTTGAAGGAAGAAAAAACACTTTTTTCCCTGTCCTCGCATTGCCAAAAAGTATCATGTTAAAGCAAACCACCAAACAGTTCATCAAGGAAAGAACTAAGTTAATCAGAGTAGTGTCATATTCTTTTAGAACAATAATGACAGCATTAGAACCAATTAGACTTTGTGCAAGTTTTAAACTGTTTGTTCCTACCTTGTAACGACAACTGATTTCCAGCTTTTGCTGTCAGCACCTTCAAGCTGGGGGCCTCTGCTCTCTGCCAACTGTAATCTCTTACCAGTCTCTTCTAGTTGCACTGTCATCTTCTCATTTAATATCTCTAAATTGTTCTTGGCTATCCGCAATTTTTCTGCAGCTTCAGTCTCCTATCATTAAAGACTAATTAGTACAGGATGACAAAACAATACTGTTCTCACAGATGCAATATATTCAAAATTACCACTACAAATTAGAAAACAAAAGTAACCTGGCAGTCTAAATGCTGATTAAAATTCCAATAAAAATCCAATATTTTCTTTATAACAGCAATATGATCATAATAATTAGGACAACAGATCATGTAAACGAGGTTAGAAAAATACATTGCAAGTATTTTACTCTAGTGGTTACTTTACATTTGTCATCTTTGTAGTATTCATGGATAATGGGATCGTTTATGTCTTAATACACTTAGAAGATGTTTTCCTTTGACCAATACTTGAGAGACCTAGCTATGAGCATCAACTATGTGTAAGTACCATAAATTATCTCCACTGTTGAACATCCATTCAAAACACACTGCACTCTGGTCTCACAGTATATTCCGATACTATTGTAACTAGTTTAAAAACCTCAATTTCAGTTTATTCACTGGATCATCCATATAAGTAACAACACCTATTTGTGGGGCAAGGAATATATTTTGCAACTTAAACAGAAAGGAATCTTATTGTTTAACAAAACAATTTCATATATTCCTTACTTTATATCAATCATTGTTCTGAGCCATGTGCACAAATATTAACTCATTTAAATCCCGCAGCAGCTCTGTGAAACAGATATATTTATTATGCCCAATATTATAGATGAGGAAATTGAGGGATAGAGAAGGGTCAGTAGTTTGCCCTTGTTTCCACAGCCAGTAAGTAACAGAGCTAGGACTTGAATCCCAGATGTGTAGCTTCTACATTATACTGCCTCTTAATTTTTTATTTTCAATGTGCCTCAGGGTGAATGGATGGCAGCCATAAAAATACAATCCCTACATCTCTTCACATCTACTCTGAAGAGACACTCTCATCAGCTTTTCCATTCAGTTTTTCAGATGTATTAGTTAATTAACATAAAAAGTAATTATTAATCAGTAATGAAAGTCATACTTTTTTAAGTTCTTTACGAAGCCTTTCATTTTCAGCAACAATCTTCTCTGTGCCTTTGGACTTGGACTCATAGTGCATGCTCAACTGATGTCCAAGATGAACTTTAAGTTTTTCTAATTCAGCCTAGTAAAAAACAAACAAAAAAAACCCCTATATATTATCAAAACCAGGAAATAAAATCCTATAAACTCATAAAACTTAATTCAAAGCAGTTTTAGAGCCCATTTTTGATAGAATGAACCTTCCCTTTCGTATTTGTCATCTAGAGCAGAGGTTCCCAACCTTGGCTACACAGTAGAATGAGCTGATGACTTAAAATCACAGTATCTATTGTAGGACCCACCCCAAAAGATCAATGTCAGGACTGGGGGCTTATGCATCTGTATTTCTGAACAGAGACACAGGTGAGTATTTGTGCTGCTGAGTGAGAACCAGTGGTCTTGAAATAATAAAACGACCAGTGGAGCTACTCTAATTATTCTTAGCCTTGTCTCCAATAAGTTTTTCCATATGTGTAAAACAGTCACTGCATCCATTAAAGCCATTTTATATAGTAGGAGTATACTTAAAATCTTCCTTAAAAAATAAAAATTATAATAGTGAAAACATCCCATGCAAATGATCACATTAAAAAATTACCTTCAACTTTTCATTTTCCAGCTCAATATTAGCCATTTTTTCACTGGTCAGTATTCCTGATGCTTTTTTCAACTGTTCATTTTCCTTTTGGACTTTTTCAACTACTTTTTTCATTAAACCAATGGTTTTTTCTAGTTCTGGGATTGTCTTTCCACTTCTACCAGACTACAAAAGAATATATTAACTTTTTATCTAATCAAATATCTGAGAGAGTATAATATAAAACACCAACAACATAAAAGGCTCATTATTACACTCAGTGTTGATTCCTAACATTTGAAGCCAAAACCTGTATTCAATTCATCACTACAATAACCCTTTGCGATAGGAATTATAATTCTTTTAAATACAAACAAATCAAGACTCAGAGAATTTGATATTCCTAGTCATGCAGCTAATAAGTAACAGCTCAAATACTCCAGCCTTGATGTCTGTTCCAAATGAATAAGCCTAAGAACCTAAATAGTCTATTTAGCTAAGGTTCTTTCCTATATACCAGAATTTTCTTTATATGAAGAAAAAACCCACAAAAGTTGTGTCATTAAAGAGTTCATGAGTTACCAAATTTGAATTGAGCATAATAGAGGTGATTTTCTCTAATAATAGCCATTGATTAGAAATTCCGTTTCTGTCCAATATAAATATAAGAGACATCTGAAATGAAAAAACCTAGTGTAGAGTTATCAATAGAGATGGGTCACCCATTAATAACTTTAACTGCCTATGCTTTATATTAAGGCTTTTAACAGTTGAGCAAAAGAATCTGCTTACTTTTTTTGCATTTTAGTTAGTATTGACACTATGCAATGAATAACCCTATAGTACATAAATTTAATATATTATTATTTTAATATATTATTTTAATATATTATTAATATGACCTTTCACCATTAGAAAAGGTCAAATTAACATTTTTATTTAGGAAATTAATGTCGCTGTCAGTGAGATGTTTGTTCTGAATACTTTTCTAATAATAACTCAATATTTTCACCAAATCTGTCATATATTTATATTATTACTTGAACAAGTTTTTATATTGATTGCTTCCATTGTGCCACTTGCTAACGAAATCATTAGGGGCTTAAATCTTCGGCCAGGGCCTCATAAGCAGCATTTATTCAGTGTAAAAAGTGAATACAAAATAACATGGGAAGAAAAATACAAGAATAAAAAAATTGGGAAACATATTTACAGAGCATTATACTAAGAAGCTGCCAGGGAAATCATAAAAAATAGTTACAAATGTTAGAATTGGACTAAGATAAGTTAGTAGTTATCTTCATGAACAGAAGGAGGATTCCTAGAAGTTAAGTGTTTTCAAGGTGTGAAGGGATACGCAATGAAGAAAGATGATGTGGTGTCCCAATTGAAATAAAATGCATGTAAGGTGTGACATGATAAAATACATTGACTTGAAACACAAAGAAAAGCTTTATGATGTTTTACATTGTAGATACAGCAATATAAAAACCAAGACTACAGGCACTAGTAAAATCATATCACTACTGTTATGACATATCCAAACTTGTTTTTTCATTACTAACTTACCACTTCTGAAACCAAAACAAATACATGGAATGTTCTCACACACTCACCCCTCTAACACGACCAAGTTTCCGCTCAACTTCTGCTTTTTCTTTCTTAAGAAATTCACACATTTCTTTCAAATCTCTTACTTGACTCTGAAAAATTAAAGCAAACATATAACAGTTTAACACAGCTATCACCGCTGAAAAGGAAAAAAAAAAATTCATGTGAACTATCAATTTCTTCAACTCTCTAGCCAAACTGAACAAGATGGTCTCCACAGCAATAAGGATTTTGAACTAAGACATATGTTGAATTAAAGTTCATTAATACAAGCCTATTTTATATATGAATTTCAAGAAATATTTTCCACATTACTGCCTTAATAGAGTTTAGAACTCTGATTTTAACCGCCCCATAAATTACATATGCAGATCCTTATACAGATGGTAAAGAGGAACAGTACTGTTTCTAACAATGTAAAACTCAGAATGTTCTAGAACCCAGGACATAATTATATCATTACCAGTGAAATTAACAGATTGCTAATATTCTAGGTTAGAAGACAGAACTGAAGGGGCGCCTGGGTGGCTCAGTTGGTTAAGCAACTGCCTTCGGCTCAGGTCATGATCCTGGAGTCCCGGGATTGAGTCCCGCATCGGGCTCCCTGCTCAGCGGGGAGTCTGCTTCTCCCTCTGACCCTCCTCCCTCTCATGCTCTCTGTCTCTCATTCTCTCTCAAATAAATAAATAAAATCTTTAAAAAAAAAAAAAAGAAGACAGAACTGAAACAATTAGCCAGCCAGAAGAAAAAAAGATTCCCATAAAAAGATGAGATTTGGAAAACCAAAGATAAATGTATTATAAACATCAAAATAAAATTCCTAAGAGAGATAATTATCCTAATTTTTTAAAATGTAAACACTTAATTTAAAAAAAAATCCTAATATTTTAAAGAGTGATGATTGTTAATGTGCTAAATACACCGTCCATCCTCTTGCCTCAGGGCTTTGAACTTGATATTTCTGTTGTCTGGAACTCTTTTTCTAGTACCTGTATGACCCACTTCCTTACCTGTCCCCTAGCTCTCTGCTAAAATATCATTTTATTAAGAAAGCCTTCCCCTATTACCCTAATTTAAATAGCAATTCCATACACTCCCAAACCACCAACACACATACACACACCTTTCACACCAACTGTGTTTTTTCTCCTTACCACTTAACATCAGCTGACACACTATATATTGACTTTTTACTTATTAATTATCAGTCTTCCCCACTAGAATGTAAGTTCTTCGAGTGCAAGAAATTTTTTGATTGCTGTTTCCTAGCACCTAGAAAAGTGCCTGACAACAAACAGGCTTTCAACAAATAATTGTTACGTGAACAAATGTATAAAGTGTAACACTACCATAAAATTTTATGAATGTGAGTTTCTGACATCTTCATAAACTAATATGAAGAGGGACAAAAAGGCTTTCAGGCATTAGACTTCCTAACTAGAGTAAAGAACATTAAATTTACCTTTAATCTTGGCAAATCTTTATTTGCTTGTTCAAGTTGAAATTTTAGTTCAATATTTTCAGATGACAACTCCAAGTTTTCCCTCTGAAGCTGCTGTTCTCTTTGACAATGATCATCTGACTCTATCTCGGAAGTCTTCAGGAAAATAAAGTTAGAAATATTTTTAACTCAATAACAAAAGTGGCATAAGACATAATGGGATAAGAAAACACTAGCTAACAGGGAACATTTTTCCTCAAAAAAATATGGAAAACTGGAGAGCTCTAGAAAAAAATTGCCTCAAATAAATAAATTAGAATATAAAAATTGCAGGAGAAAAGGTAATGCAGTTTAATTAATATAGAAAGCAAAGTCAAGGATGTCTTAGTAATGTCCACACACATTAACGTCTCCATGTATACTCTCATAATGACTAAACTAATTTGTGCTAGTTTTTCCAGTCCGAAAGTATGGTTATTATTTGTTATGGATTATATTATGCCCTAAACCCTACCCCACCCTCAAATTCATATGTTGAAGTCCTAATCCCAGTACCTCAGAATGTGACCTTATTTGGATATAGGACCTTTTCAGAGGTACTCAAGTTACAGTCATTAGGGTGGGCCCTGACCCAGGATGAGTGGTGTTCTTATGAAAAAGGGAAATTTGGATACAGAGATATGCATAGAAGGGAGATAATGTGAAGAGACAGGGAGAAAATGGCCATCTATAAGCCAAGGAGGAGGGCCTGGAAAAGACTCTTTCTTCACAGGTGAAAGAAGTCATCAACCCTGCCAGTAACTTGTTTTTTGGACTTCTGGCTTCCAGAACTGTGAGAATAAATTTCTGTCAGGCCACCAAATCTGTGGTGCTTTGTTACAATAGCCCTAGCAAACTAATACACAAACCTATAAAAAGAAGTGCCTTAATTTCTTCCTCCTTCTTGGGAAAGCTCTTCTTCATCCCTTGAGCGAAAGCAATCACTCCCTCCTGTGAAATCCAGTTACACTATATTTGTATTTCTCTTGGCACAAATCCACCTTGGGTTATTATTTATGTTCATTTTTACTTCTCCTTCTAAGTGACAAGTCATTCAGAAGAGAAATATGTGCTTGATTACGTTTTTCTATACAGTGGATAGAATACCACCTACCTCGTATGAGTGTTATGGGCATCATATGAAATAATTTTGTTCAAGCACTCAGCATAGTTTTAGTTTGTCCTCCCCCATCCCTTTCTCCCTCTACTGGCTTGATGGACTATCAAGTCAATAACTCCACAGACACTAGAGTTTAAAAAATGTAGTATTATACAAATATATCCATTATACATGGCTCTATACCATCTTTTAAATTAGTAGTAGGTTAAATACATCACATTCTGATACATTTACCCTTAAGTAATAAAAACAAAAGTAAAAGAAATTAAAGACATTAAAAAATAGGATAGAAGAGTAAAGAAGTTCTAGGCTGTTGGATTCTGATGTGAGGGCCCAGAACACTGGCAGAAACAGCACGCATCCCCCTGCATCTATCTGTTCAAAGCAGTGTGTGGGCATATGTACGTATACAGTGGCACGAGAAAGAAGACAGACATGTTTGTTGAGGTCCGTACCGCAGGAGTATGTCTTTGCTTATTCTCTGTCAAATCACCCAAGTATACATGCCGATTCTGCTGCTATTAGGTTAACACTAGGCAAATCATGCCACATGCAAGGTCCTCGGTTTTTCCATCTTACAAATGAAGATACAACATGGGGTAATTTTTAAGGCCTCTTCAGACACAGAAATCTGTAATGCCCTCTCCCAGAGCTCTTCTGTCACCCTCACTTCATCTCTTCTGTCTGTAGTAGCTATTTAACAAATGAAAAACACCTACGGGCACCACTGATAGATAGACATCAAATATATTAAGTATCACTCACAGAAGAGAGTACTTCTACCTTATTTCTACCTTATGATCTCACATCAGGTTTTTTTTGTTTTTTTTTTAAACAGTTCTCTCCTCACTAAAACATGGAGGCAATTATGTAAGTACATATGGATCACTGCCCCCCCATTCTCAAAAAACAAAATTAAAAGTATTAGTTGAGGGGCGCCTGGGTGGCTCAGTCGTTAAGCGTCTGCCTTTGGCTCAGGTCATGATCCCAGGGTCCTGGGATCAAGCCCCGCCATCAGGCTCCTCGCTCCGCGGGAAGCCTGCTTCTCCCTCTCACACTCCCCTTGCTTGTGTTCCCTCTCTCGCTGTCTCTCTCTGTCAAATAAATAAATAAATAAATAAATAAAATCTTTAAAAAAAGTATTAGTTGAAATTGTCCAAATTTCTGGAAAATAAATTCTAATGAAACTCTGTTCTGTAAAAATAATATAAATAAAAATCTTACATAATGAATTTTATGAGATTTCCAATTCTTGTGTAGAAGAGGAATCCTGCTAAAAGGGATACACTGCTAGGGGAGCCTGGGCGGCACAGTCGGCCCAGTATCAGACTCTTGGTTTCAGCTCAGGTCATGATGTCAGGTTCGTGAGACTGAGCCCAACATTGCTCCGTGCTCAGCACGGAGTCTGCTTAAGATTCGCTGTCCCTCTCTGCCCCTCCCCACTGTGTGCTCTCTCTCTAAAATAAATAAATCTTAAAAAAAAAACAAAACACAGGGGAGGGGATACACTGCTAGAAACCAAATTCTTAGTGGATAGGAGTTAAAGAAACACACATTGGAAGCCTCAAATTTTTAATTACTTATTATCAAGCAAAAAAAAAAAAGCATTATAAACCTGGATAAAGAAATGAAGTAAGAATTAAGTCACTTTCATCCATTTTCCCTTCACATTTAAATGTTTGCTTTTATTTATTTTTTTTTAAAGATTTTATTTATTTATTTGAGAGCGAGAATGAGAGAGAGAGAGAGCATGAGAAGGGGAGGATCAGAGGGAGAAGCAGACTCCCTGCTGAGCAGGGAGCCCGACGCGGGACTCGATCCCGGGACTCCAGGATCATGACCTGAGCCGAAGGCAGTCGCTTAACCAACTGAGCCACCCAGGCGCCCTAAATGTTTGCTTTTAGTGATGTTTTTAGGACTTCGGTGACTGGAATATCTAGGTGGAAAGGATAAAGACAAAAAAGATAAATGCTATTTGATTTCAACTGGGGGCAAACTTGTCTAGGCTGTACTGCACTGTAAATGGACCAAAAGTAGTGTGTCACAAGAGAGATCATAGAGTTAGACCTGCGTTTAGATCCTGGTCCTGCATCACTAGAGATGTTACTCATGCTCCAACCTTCCCATGTAAAACAGAAACAACAGTCTGCAAAGTGCTATGAAAATTATACCTAGACACAACGTAGACAACAACACGGGCAAACTCCCTTTTTTCACTATAAAAAAGTATTTGTCATATACTATGTGGCAAAAAGATGACCAAAGAATGTCACACAGTATCATAACACATTTTTACTGATAGCAGTCACTGTAGTAAAAGTTTGTGATGAGACTCCAGAGCATCCTGATTTAGAAATTTCTAAGGCAAAATGAATACCTCTAAAGAGCCTGATTTTTGTCACCCTGTTATCTAAGCTAATTCTTTTTAAGTGAGTACCAGTGGTAAAACAGTGAGTACTAAAATGAATTAGGAAATGCGTAACCATTAATTTTGGAAGGAACTAGTCAAATATTAGAGCTTAAGACACATTTCATGAAGAGTTAATATTTTTTACAAATCCTATAGTTTATTTCCATTTGCACCACATATGTATACCACTTGCTAGAGGAGAATTCAGCTAACACACACACACAGGACCGCCATCGACTCAGACCTAGGACACTTCATCTCTTGGCTGGACGGGTACATCGGCGTCAGAATCTGCCTGTGCGTCCTCCTCAGCACACTGATTCAGGGCGGCAGCAACTGTAGCATAATCAGGGTCCTCTCTGGCAGATTCTTCTGGATCCAAGTGGTCGTTGTGACTCATATCTTCAGCTATGTGTCCCTTTCCTTCATCATTCTTGCCTAGCTCATTCTCTTCCTTGTTCTTATGTTCCTGTTTATTATTTTCACAACAGTCTTGATTAATTTTCTTAATTTCAGGATCCGGTGCATTTTCAAAATGGGACTTAACATCTGCCAAGATACCATTAATTGACCTAAATGGACTTGACTTATTTTTTGGTCTTGTCTCAGATGTACTTAACTCCGTAGGATCTACAATATCTTCTGCTGTGTGGTTTTCTTCATTACTGTAATACTGTAGAATATTTTTAGGTACCTGATGATATAAGTTGTCACTGGTATCTAATCCCTTCCCATTTTTAATTCTGAAAACTGTTATGGGTTTTTTTTTGTTCCAGTGTAAAGTGTTCTTTTTGTGAAAAGTATTTTGCCTGTATTTATTAACATTGGTAGCAAGGGTAGAAAGCGTAGTTGTGTCACATAACAGATTCTGCTTGAAGCAGAAAAAAGAGAAGAAACATGAAAAGAAGAAAAAGAAAAAAATAAAAATATACACACTATTTGTTTTAAAGTAAGATACAACAAACAATATTAATATCTTTTTATAAAGGAAAACTAGAAATATATAACACATTTGAATGGAAACAATGCTATGACATACTTTTCTAATTCACCCAATTGTATGTTCTTGCCACAGCAAAACTCAAAATGGTAATTTCATTTAAAATCTCATTTGTAATAAAGTTTTATGCAATGCATAAGAATCTTAAGTTTACTTATGTAAGAGGATTAAAGAAGTTCATTTACGCCACACCTGGTAAAAATAAAAGTTGGATTTATTGCATTAATATTATAAGAAGAATCTAAGGTTCTGGGTCAGATAAAGGTAGAAGTTGATATCACTTTTAACCTTTAAAAACAGAAAAACAAAAATGTGTGCACTTACTGAAGTTCTAGAATATGCCTCCTTTGAAAACTGTTTTTCTAAAACATGAAGTTTTTCTTGGAGGTATCTATTTTGTAAACGTAAATCTTCTATGACAGAATCTCGAGGGAGAGCCTGGCGGGTCCTATGAGAAACAACGACAGACTCTTTACTATTCAAACTTCAACTCTCCACAGTTTTACTATGTCAAAATACAGAAAAGAAAGAAAATATATATTTATTAACACTGTATTTATTTGAAATTCCACGAACTTGTAAACTTTACAAAAATCAGGACACGACTATTTATAGTATAAAGTGATCCTCTACAGAGGATTTGCTGCAGGGCTCTTTTGAATGATGAGTTAACAAGTGTATTTTGATTTACAGAAATAATCTTTAAAGAATATGCATCTATTTATATGGAATTGTATAAGATAAATCAAAATAGCCACTATTTTTAAAACATTATATAATAACTTCATAACATCTGTGTGCTTCTCAAGAAGCTCAAGGATTCAAAAAAGGCTCTTGGTGATGCCACGGAACAATCTGTTACTCCGAGTCTTATGTGCATGGCCTACCCTAACTGTCCAGGAGTCTACCTTTACTAAGGCAAAAAAGTCTACTCTTACCCACACATGAAAGCTTCACCCCTGCCACTATGTCTCTGCTAGGGTTCTGCTCTCTTGGAATGTCCCTCCTCCCTTTAATATCTAGATCTGATTCATTAAATTTAGAAATTCAAGTTGAACTGAGAAGGTAAGTTCCATCTTTTCTATCAAATCTTCTCCAATTACTTCAGCCCACACAGATTCACATTATTAGAAAAACAAAAACAAAAAACAAAATACTCTAAAAGTATTAGGTTTCAAAACTAAAATATTTTGATCCTTGTGAAAACTGCAAAGGAGAAAAAAGGGTTTGATGTTGTTCTGAACATATGTTTAGATCAAGACAAACAAGGAAGGGAAGGAGCCACTGATGGGATCAGACAGTAACTATATAAGAGGTGTCAAAAGAAAGAATTCTTCAATTACTTTTTTCTTCTTCATCACAGAAAATTCTGAGGGATTTAAGAAACAATGATTTAGGAAAAAAGGAAAGGAATGTAGGCACTCAGGAGTGTTCCTTTAAAAGAGTTCACATTACATTAACATGCAATCACAGGCATTGATAAAGAAGCAATAATGGTATTTTTTGAAGATCAATAGAAAGGGGGAAAAAAGTATGATAAATTTAAGAACAGCAAGTATCCTCATATCCAAATATGACAGCTAGGTACCAGACTTTAAAAATGATCGTTAAGATGATTTTAGATAGCTTGTCAAGTACTTAGGAGGGGAAGTGACAGATTATGTAAAACTAATTGAAGTTCATCTAAGAAGAAATGAATGAAACAAATTATTACAGTTTCAGTTGTTGTTAGGACATGATTTTATTTTGCTTTGCATGACTGATTATATCAGAAGACACAGCTTGGAAATAGGGGACGAAACAAAAAAATTTCAAAGGCTCTGCTAAAGAAATGGTACAGCACAAAGGGGTGGGGGTGAGGGTGCAGAGGGGGGATCTGGTTCTAGGTACAGTGGAGTAAACATATCCAATCTTGTCTCTCCCAAAGGCATGGAAAAACTATCTGAGAACTTAGAAAAGTAAGTATTTTACAGATTGGGACAGCATACCGGAATTACCTATCAGCAAATGGGCAGTGATTTACCTTTCGTTTTCCTCTGGTGTTTCTTGGCCTGAATACAACACTGATTGAAACCTGAAGGTGAGTGTGAGTGCTGAGGGAGAAAGCCCCAGATTTCGTTCGAAGTACCAAAAGGGGGAGCCCTAGGAAAACGGAAAGTATCAGGGAGATCACAGAAAGGGAGGAACTCAAGAAAGGGAACTTGTAAAGTCGTTTATGAACTTTTGGGCTCAATGCTGAGCTGTGTGTGCATGGATCTGATCTTAAAGTAGCAAAGACTCAAAGAACTGAACTAACAAACCAAAGACAGCCCATGTACCAGACTTCCAAACTGGGAGGGGCACAGGCAGGACAGATCCAAAGAGACTGGAAAGGCTTTGAAAACAAAACTGATATTAGAACCACAGCCCACAGAAAGCAGGTTGGAACTTGAGGCCTGAACCTATCCAGACTGACTGCCTGCTAAAACAAAATTATCCACATTTTCCATAGAATTTAACCAAGATCCAAAGTTTCACCACATAATATTCAGAAGTTCAAGAATACAGTCCAAAATCAGGTGGCATACAAAGAACCAAGAATATCTTAACTCACATGGGAAAAGACAACAGAACCCAAGCCTAAAGTAATACACATTCCCATCAGTTACTATGGGTCAGTCAGTTTTCTTCATTATAAGGGGTACCACATTTTCATGAAACAGCCTACCTCATATATGAAATGTCATTTTCTAAGTCAAGATTTCTCTTTTTCAATTCTTCCAACTCTTTTTCTGACTCCAAAGCTCGCACTCCCATAACTTGATCAACAGTAATGCCAGTTGTTTTTAGTTTCCTCTGCAAAGTAAGTTTCTCTTTGTCAGCTCTGTGGGATTTAATATAGCATCATGAAAATATATAATTCACTGTTTTGCGTTCAATTTATTAAACCACAGCTTACTCAATTACAGGACCAACATAAAAAAATTAGATCTTTCTGTATTTGCTATGAGCTCACTTATTTCAAAATTATAGGAACTCCATTTATAAATTGTTAAAATACTTTTTTTTTTTTAAAGATTCTATTTATTTGGGAGAGAGAGAGCATGTACACAAGCATGGGGGAGGGACAGAGGGAAAGGGAGAAGCAGACACCCTGCCAAGCAGGGAGCCAGATGCGGAACTTGATCTCAGGACCCTGGGATCATGACCTAAGCCGAACGCAGATGCTTAATCGACTGAGCCAGCCAGGTGCCCAAATTGTTAAAATACTTTTAAACACATTTTAAAGAAAATAAAAAGTGAACCACAGATAATAAATGATAATTAAAACTAGGAAATTTCTCAAGTATGATATCAAATACGAAAAAATGTCTTAACTTCCAAATCAATTAAAGACTTTACACATAATTAATTAGGCTTAAATTTAAACTCACTTGGCAAAAAGATCCTTTAAAGTATTCAACTGCTTTGTTAGAACATAGACTTCCCCCTCTTTTTCTTTCAACTTGTTTCTAATTCCCTCTATTTTGGTTTGCCATTTTTTACCTTCTTCCCACCTAATTAATTCTTCTTTAGCACTCTGTAAACAATAACGAAGGAGAAAATTACCAATATTGTTTTTAATTTCAAGATTTATCAAATACAATTTACTAGAGCAATGGTAAATCAATACTTCTTAGAGAATATGTAAATACATTCATTTTGCTGTGCAACTTCTAGAATCTTTAGACATGCCAAGCTATTAGCAAAAATGCCGATCAGCTTAAGCGTTCTATATTCTATTACTTGACAGATGATATTCTAGGGAACAGTCTGGACTAATGCCAACAGACTTAGGAATCTTTAAGATTCTAATAAAGATGATCATGACCAAAGTAAGCTTCTAACAAAGAATGTATATGTACAAAGGACCAACTCAATTTTAACCAAAACAGCTATCTTCTAGCATCATAGCCCCTTCAAATCTTCAATGCACATGATTTCTCTTACTCAGTAGATGTTTATATAGTGCTAATCATCTGCCAAATACTACTCTAGGCACTAGAAGTAGAAGCAATGAATAAACCAGAGAAAAAGCATTACAGTCTAATTTATGTTGGTTGGGTGGATTAGGGAAAGGGAGCAAAATACAGACAAAAAGAAAGAAAAAAATATTTTGTAGTAAGTTAGCTGGTGATAAGTGCTAAAAAGAAAAAAAGAGCAGTGAAGAGAATTAGCTAATGGCATTAGCAATGCCACTGGGTCATATAAACTGCCAATAGAATACATTTGTATCAGTCTGCATTTGTAGCTCTGAATTCCTTTTAACGCTACAAGACTACTTCATTATGTTTTCTAGTGTAGTATGTCAGAGCATTTTCATATTGAAATATGAGAAATATCTATTGTTTTTATAAGTTATTTTTTGTTTCTCCTTTATATTTCATTTATAATGATTTTTTTGAAATTACACATGTAGGTAGTTTCCAGTAACCATAAATTTCATATGGAATAGTACAGAGGATGTTATGAAACACTGTATTTATTAAAAAAGGCAATGTTGGGGCTGAAAGAGTTAAAAGCCATAGTATAAAGTCAAATGCCCAACTAAGATAAGTTGCCCTATCAAAACTGTCTTCTTTGACACTGGCCAATTTTTTGCCTTATTTATTTAGGTAACATGTATTCTTTTAAAAAATGTAAAAACTTTAGTGTTTGATCATTATTAATTTCTTTTTTTTCTGAATTTTGTGACTTCCAGAAATGTAAGTATTAGTTTGGGCATAATGGTATATAAGTAAATAATTCTGCAGCATCGGAGTGCTTTGTAGGGATTGAGCAATTCTAACCATTATTCTTATAGCCCAAAAGATGAACACATAGATAAGTAAATCTCTAGTATGTCAGATAATAATAAATGCTATGGAGAAAAGTATAGCAGCATAAGAAACAGGAATGCAAGGCATGGGGGTGGGTTTTGGTATCTCATATAGATAGGCTATAAAGAGTTGACAGAGAAAAGGGTGTAGAAATTTCAATACAAAAGCATGTTTTGAATATAAAAACATTCATAAATTAGAAGTGCCCCGTACTGTGGAATTTGAAATAATCCTCTCGCTAGATTCCTGGATACAAATTTGAATATTAGGGTTGCTCTTTGTGTTCTCTTTTCCTAATTAGTAATAATATCATACAGTGGTATGGACTGGATTGCTTACAGAAGAGCTGCACATATTGTTTCATTCGATTTTCAAAATAATCTTGGGAAACCAGCAATGCAAGTTGTATCATTTCTATTTTCAGGAGAAATACACTGAAACACAGGTTAGGAGTCCAGGCAAAGCCACAAGGCTACTGAAGTATTCTGCTAGGAATCAGGTTAGGAACATTAAAGGCAGGGAGGCAGCAAAGAAAGCAATCTGGAAGAGTAAGGACATTTTTATCTTAGGATTTTACCAGCAAAGCTTCTGACAGCAAGTATGTTGTGGTTCAATGTATACAAATGCAAACATTTTAATAAAAATCATACTAACATTGGTGAATTTTCATAGGTAAAATGAATTTTGGAATATACTCTATTAAGATATTTTAATTCCATTACTAATTTCTATTCAGTGGCATTAAAGATACTTTCCTTTTATGTTCATATTATTGAAATTATTTTATAGATATTGAATATTTTCTGGGTAAATTTTACAAAAAAATTTTTCCTAATCTTAGCTCCTTTGTTGTGATTTTCTACAGGGGCAAACATTACTAGTAACACCTATTTCCCAGGTCTCGATATTTCCAATGTTACCGATACAAATCTTCAGTTTATTATTTGTAATAAATTATATGCATTTTAGCAAGTTTTAGGGGATTTAATGGGATTGATAATTTCTATTAGTAATTTTTATTACAAAATAGTTTATTAGTTAACCTGTTAGAAAATTTTAAGCAACTTTTCTCACATTTCAGAATCAATTCATGAGTAGTTTGGTTACTGATTACTACAAATATTGATTTTATTCCAAATCAGTTTGTTTACCCTGAACAAACAGTCCAGTCTATGGAAGGATAAAAAGGACACATTTGGGTCAAGGTAGCAGACTAAAAATGCCCAACTTTCTTTCCCAAAATCAAAAGTACCAATTTATGTAAAAAATTAGGTTGGGGAGAAGTTGGATAGGTAAAGTGTGAGGGGATTTTAGAGGTACTATAATATCAGGAAGAGGACATGGAGACATTCTAGTAACTTCTGAGTAAGAGCTACATTATAGGAGTCTCCTGTAAATTCTTAAAGGACAGAAAGTTGTCTTAGACTTCTCTACATTATTCGATACATTTATAGAATGTATTAGGTCCTCAAATTAATACAGTTGATCTTCTGTTCATCAGTTATAAAATTTAACTTAGTCTATCATTACCTTTTTTTTTTTTAAGATTTTATTTATTTGAGACAGAGAATGAGATAGAGAGAGCATGAGAGGGGGGAGGGTCAGAGGGAGAAGCAGACTCCCTGCTGAGCAGGGAGCCCGACGTGGGACTCGATCCTGGGACTCCAGGATCATGACCTGAGCCGAAGGCAGTCGTTTAACCAACTGAGCCACCCAGGTGCCCAAGTCTATCATTACCTTAAACATATTAATCAATATGTTTCTTCACATACCTTTTCTTTCACAGGCTTTATTTCTGCCTCATCCACCTTTCTTTCCACTTGGCTTTCTAGCTTTTTAATTTTCTTTTGGAGTTCTTCAATTAAACTTTGTTTATTATCTATTAGAGGTTTCCCCTGAAATATAAGATGTATTTTTACATTTTACAAGTAAAAAACTATCAAACAAAATACACAATATTCCAATTACAGAAACTTTCTGAGGCTATTGCCATCTTTTCTAAATGCACTATTGATATAGAACATAGTAGCTACTTCTGCATTTTAAAAATAGGCTACTCTAAAACGACAAATACAACAGAGGTCACTGAATTAGCTACATTAATCAAAGTGATCTGAAAGCTAGTTTTAGCAAGTAATATAGATGAAATTAAAAAGTGGGAATAAACCACTACCTATATATTTTAAATCAAAGACATTACCCCAATTAAATATAAAATCACCTGTAATCCACTGGTTAGTCTTTTAATTTGCCTTTTCAGTTCATCATTCTCTTGATCAATTCCATCTTTCTCTCTAAGCATTTTATTATAGGCTTTTTGTTTTTTTTGCAGTTCATTGGTTAAATCATTCAAATTATCAGTTAGTGAGTTTTCCCTGTTTTTACTTGTTTTAAGAGCTTCTTTCAATTTTAAAAGATTTTCACTTAAATCGTCAATTTGTGACTGCAAGTAAAGAAAGGTTTAGTTCATAAATCTTCATCAAATATCAACAATAAAACAGAATACATCTATTACTTAATAAAAAGGAAGTTTCGATCTAAATTTTTATTAAATTATTCTTAATAATACTTATTAAAAAGGTTTAGTTAATGATTATTAAATTAAAACTTATTAAAAATAAAGTTTCAATCTAAACTTTTAAGTTCATGGGGGAAAAAAACCCACTAACAACCTGATTTAATGCTGGCAATTTTGGAAACAAAAATTCTAAGTAAAATGTTTCTTAATTCTGTTAGGAAGAAGTAGTTAGTAATGGCATATCCTCTGCTAATCTCTAAGATGATAACATGAGTACAATCAAGACATTTATATTACAAAAACCGCATGTTTTGTTTCAATATCCAAGTTTAGATATTTATTTGAATTACTCACTTAGTACATACTTCTGTACTTGAGAGTTTGAGCCCCACAGTGGGTGTAGAGATTACTAACAAAAAAATAAGTGAAAAAACAAACAAACAAACAAGCCTAAGTACAATCCAGTCTCTACAGAGTTTAATGGTGGTGAAGAGGACATACAAATAAATTGAGTAAATCAAAATTACAAACATATAAAAAGTGGATTTTTCACTTTATGCAGAATGTACTACATGAAACTTTGTGTGAAGAAATTTAAAACTCATTATGAAACCTATGTTTTGTAAAAAAATTTTAAATCACCACATCTAATGACTGATCAGTAATGAAAACAATAAAGTACATAGCCAAAAAATAAATAAATAACTTCAAAAAAGGCTTCCGAGTCAGGCAGCTCTATGGATTAAATGTCAGGAACTATATAATCCCCCTAAATTATTTCAGGAAGAAAAAAAGGAAAGCTAATCAACTCATATTATGAACTAGCAAAACTTAGAAAATTCTGATAAAAGAAATAAAACAAAACAATGAAATCTACACACCTTTCTCACTTATCAACACAGAAACAAAAATTCTAAGTAAAATGTTTCTTAATTCTATTAGGAAGAAGTAGCTAATAATGGCATATCCTTTCCTAATCTCTAAAATGATAATCAGAGTGAGTACAATAAAGATTCTTTTTTTTTTTTTTTAAAGATTTTATTTATTTATTTGAGAGAGAGAGAATGAGAGA